TTCGTCACATAGCAGTGATTGCGAAATCTCTTTTCTTTTTCTTAATTCAAAAATGACTCAGAATTTGGATAGCTCTCGGATCGGAAAGAATTATCCATAGTTCAAACTATCTTCTCTTATTGAAGGCGAGGGTGATTCTTTAGTCTCATATTTTCACCCTGGAGATAACAGTCAAATTTATGACATTTAATAAATGTCTCTTTATCATGATAAAAAAAAACAAGAGATTTGTTTCATTTTCTTTTCTTTTCTTTTCTGTTCGAAGTGAAAGAGAATGCAGCATCAGTGCATATTCAATTCTCGTATTTACCTTCTGACAAGCACTTTTGTCACAAAACTCATTCTCTGTATAGCCCTGAAGATTAGTAGATGGCCACACGTACGCTTAGTGCTATTGATTACGTTATCCTTGTGATACTCTTACTCTTATCATCAGTCATTGGCATCATCTTCGGATTTTTCAAATCGAAGAAAAGCTCTGCGAAAGAGTTTCTTCTTGGTATGATTGATTCATTAACTGAATAGTTCACTCAATCTCTTTCTTTCTTTCTCTCTTTACAGCGGATGGTAACATGGCCGTATGTATACGACTAGCAATTAGGTTTTTGTAGAATATGTTATTGTATAGGTCTTTCCAACAGCATTGAGTATTTCGGTTTCGTTTCTCTCTGCAATTACGCTATTAGGCACTCCGAGTGAAGTTTATCTATTTGGCACCATGTACTTGTACCAAGGTAAGACATCAGTCGCTCGTCTTGATTGTACTTTTACATTTGATACTGTTCTTAGCCATTTCAATAACAGTCGCATCGATCGTCGCTGCATTGGTGTTTATGCCGAAGTTTCGCGAGATGAATTTTACCAGTGCTTATGAAGTATAATGTGGTCGTTCTTTGCATCTTGTCTCAAAAGTAAGTCATGTAAAGTATTTAGAGCAACGTTTTGATCGAACCGTGCGCATCTGTGTATCAATAACATTTTCATTAATCATGGTATCCACACAAATATGTACTCATGTGATTCTGAATCCTTCTTTGACTTTAGATCATTTATATGGCTATTGTATTGTATGCACCAGCGTTGGCATTGAATCAAAGTAAAAGGCGTCTTTTGCACAAAATTAGAAACACGTAGAGGATTTATGTAATTTAGCAACCGGTCTGAATATATGGCTTTGTGTTGTTTCAATCGGTGTTATTTGTACTTTTTATTCATCATTGGTAATTCTAAATGAATTAAGAACAATAAGTGTATCATTTATTACTCGATCTAGGGCGGAATGAAAGCGGTCATTTGGACAGACGTTCTACAAGCAGTTATTATTCTAGTTGGACTCTTAGCTACCATTATTCAAGGTTTGATTTCACTCGGTGGTGTCAAACGAACTTTTTCCATTGCATCGCAAGGTCAACGCCTTGTGTTCGACAAGTAAGCGTCATTCGATTGCATAAGAAGAGATTTTTGACATGAATTATAATGCTGGTATAGTATCAGTCCTGATCCACGTGCTCGACTTACTATCTGGTCGGTACTTATTGGTGGTTCGTTCAATTGGTTATCTACATACGGATTTAACCAAACACTCATACAACGATATATTTGTGTTCGCTCGACACGTGGTGCTAAACAGGCTTTGTTTATCAATGCGTTTACTAGTGCATTAGTTCTTATTATGTCAAGTTTCATCGGTATTATGATCTATGCCTATTATGCTGACTGTGATCCATATACAGCGAAAAAGATTGATGATTTGGATCAAATTTTTCCATATTTCGTTATGGAAATATTAGGTGATAAGACAGGATTGCCCGGTGTTTTCCTTGCTTGCATATTTTCTGGTTCTCTTTCAACAATTTCGTCTGGTTTGAATAGTCTAGCAGCCGTATTAATTGAAGATATTTATAAAGGACTACTCGGTCGACAATTAACGGATCAGAGACAAGGCTTCATAGCAAAGATAGTCTCAGTCATACTTGGCGCTGTTGTTATGTTACTCACTTATATAGTTAGTTATTTAGGAATGATTCTTAATGCGGTTCTCTCACTATTTGGCGTCCTTGAAGGTCCAATTATGGGGGTCTTCATACTTGGATTTTTCTTTCCAAGAGCCAACCGACGAGGGGGCCTTGCTGGATTTCTGACAAGTCTAACTTTTTTACTATGGATTTTCTTAGGCGCTCAGATAACAAAAAATCAAATGACAGATGTAAGTTTGTCATTATCAATCGTGAATTGTACCTCATCAAATGATACAAACGAACAAATTGTATTCAATTGGACTACAACAAGCGATCCTGTCAAGTAAGATCGTCAAGAACCAGAAGAAAAAAAAACAAATAAATTCATCTCTTCAGACGCGATCCCCTAATCGATCTGTATTCGATAAGTTATCTTTGGTATACGCCCATTGCAGTCAGTACCGTCATACTGATTGGTATGATTGTTTCCTATTTAACCGGACCACGTCAGTCACATGAAATTGATCCAAAGTTGATTATCTCATTGAATACCATTTGCGCTTGTTGTTTGCCAAAGCAACACAATACGAAGGTAGATTTTTTTGTTTTTTAACAATGTGACACATCGCCGTTTTCTCCTTTAGAAAGATGATACAGATGTAGAAATGACGGTGTCGAGTTTACCTAACGCAACGGAGAAACGCCTTTCAACACAATCCATTCGTTCAAATTCAAGCTCATTGAAGCGATCGAATAAAATAGCACCTGAACCAAGTATTCATTCATCAACAACGAAAGCAGTTGAGCAAGATGATAACAATACATTTGTTGAAGAAGGAGATTTAATAAAAAATAAATAAAAACTGTAAGAAAAACTTGCGAGTACAAGTTCTCAAGGACGATTTGATGCTATAGAAGTATATGTTCAGTCAGAACAGAGCATATTTATCTTTGGTTAACGGATGTTCAACTAGCCAAGGAAGATTTGCCCGTCTATTTGGATTCCTTTGAAAAGAATAGTATAAGATATTTCGAACGAGAGGTGACTTTGTTTGAGGTGCACCGGATGGCGGTCGTGGACTCTCATAAACAGGTGTTTTTCCATATGTTAAATAGTAGAGGATGGAACCTGCTGACCAAATATCAGCTTGTGATGTGATAGGTAAATATTGAGTGAAACACTCGGGCGCACTATAAGGATGATTACCACCTCTTTGATGTCGATTGTACCTAGATAAGGAAGGCAACAAAATGAAAGTTGATGAAAAAAGAATGAGAATTACTGTGCAACTGCATCCTGAGCGATGCCAAAATCGATTATTTTCAGAGTTGATCCAAAAAATACCAAGTTAGCTGGTTTAATATCACGGTGAACCTAGAAACAGAATTCGCATAACTATTTCATCAGCATATTACACTTACTATATCGTGCCGATAGAGTGCACAGAGAATATTGACCAGCTGGATCCATATATTCTTTCGATCTTTCGCTGTGATATAATCATAGCCAGTCTTTGGCGATTGGAAATGCATTTGATGCAGATCTTCGATTTTATCTCTGAATGGCCTATTCCCTAATTCCATGGCTATAAAACCCATCCGTCTCTGTCGGTCAAGATCAACCGCATACACAGTTGCCACATAGTTCATTTCTTCGCGCATGCGCCGAGCCATTTGAATTTCATTTCGAAATGAACGCACACGTTGGCCGGAGTTGATATTATTTCGCGAATAATTAAAGTCAAATACTTTGACTGCAGCATATTGACCTGTATGTAAAGCAAAAAGTCAACTTTTTCAAACAAAAGCTAGAAAGGGAAATGCTCTATCGATCATTCGAATGATTGTGTTCGCTATCACAGTAACATGTGCATTTTTACCTTAAGTGAAGAACAATAGAACAGCTGGGAAGAGAAAAATATCGATGGGAGTAAAGAGAAAAAAAATCATCGGTCGATACCATCTCGAGTTGTCGATTTCCATACAGATGCGAATTTTCCACTTCCTAATCGACTGAGTAACGTGTACAGTTCACCTTTGATATAGACTGTTCGGTTTTGGACTCGATCTTCTCGACGAGGAGTTCGCTGATGAATAAGATCTATCGCGAGAAAACTATCAAATATGAGAATCAATGCAGTGCGATTTGTTTTACTCATGTGCTGATTTTTTATCGTATTCTTGACGGTGACTGAGACTCGTCTGCTTAGGTGTATAGTCAGTTAAGATGACGAGCAAAATGAAAGCAAATGAATAGTCATGCTTGAGCGAGACAGAACGAAAGAAAACTACGGTATACACAAAAATGTCATGAATTAGCAGTGCTTTCCTACAAATGTAAAACGGAGACCGGTAAACAATATACTTTATATGTTAAACATGAAATCCGTTGTGGAGATCAGAACCAGAAAATTGCAATTGTCTAAACATCGTACTTCATGAATTTTCACAACGGAAAACTAGATTTGACTATTAGGTAAATTTGATCGACATTTTCTTTGCTTGTTGTTGTAATCAAGCTAAACGGATGAGAATGACGGCAAATCTTTCTTCTGCTCGAGCGTCTACAAAACAAAAGTATACTATATTGTTAAACAATTGTCAAGAATTTAAAAGAAATTAGTATACTTCTTAGTGTTACTTTGGTGAATTAATCAAAGTTGACAACGCTCTCTCGGTGCAAAATACAAACATCATTACAAGAAGTGTGAGGATCTTCGTATATCGTTTTCTTTTCAATGATACGCAAACAACGAAGTTCTCTATTCACTACTTAGTTTGGACTGCGGACAATGTTAGTCGATGACAAAGATGTGTTGATACTGTTTAGGGTACGCAAGATAGAAATCAAGGATGTGTTTAAAGTTGAACTTTGAGGGAAAACGTTAGCAGCTAGACGTAAATTGAATTGCCTTGTAAGTCAATCGCATAGAGAAAATTCATGCGCTGTTGTTTAAAAATAGAAATAAGAAAAGTGAATTAGTGCATATTAAAAACTGCTTTTTACCGGAGTGTATTTTTCCTACTGCATTCTTACTAGTGATGGTTTCGAAACGAGTGCCTCTCTTGCTCTTCTGTCTGATCATCGAACAATCAGTAGCACAAAATACACGATCAGTTCAAATGTTGATTGTTAATGGTTCGCAGTTTCAATGCGCAAATACAACTTGTCCACCAGCTGCGACTCTCGCTGTCATTAACATTCTTCAATGCCAAACAGCTTGTTTAAATCAAAATCAGTGCACAGGAGCCAGTTTTTATTTATCAAGTTTCAATTGTGAATTATTTGATGGCGCGCTGAGCTCAAACGGAAATATGTTAGCTAGTACAGGTGTTACTAGCATGATTGTGATCAATGGAACGAGATACCTGTCTGGTAAGTAAAAAGAATGGCATCCACTGAATGGACACCGAGGAAAGTGCTATTTCTATCAAGTAATCGTCATAGTGGAAGCGTTTCAGTAGAATCACCACGGGCCTGCTTAAAAATGTTTGATTTAATTGAGTTTGTTTTCAATAGAAAGAACAACAACATCCGTGTTAAACACAGCCACAACAAGGCTAACAACACTAATATCAACAATATCATCGACTACGTCGTCGACAACAACATCAACATCAGCACCATTCACCGGTTAGTCTGAGATTATTTTGAGTGATAGCTTTGACCCATTCTTGAATAATTGCAACAACAAATGCGTAGATACACTAGTTATATTATCTGGAACATCGTTGTGAAACCAAGAGCGCAATAAACTATTAGATTTCAGAGTAGCGTTAAAACCGATTAGAATGTCGTAAATGATAATCACCGTCTTCTCTCTGAAAAGGAATGAGGCACATCCTCAGAATGAGCTAAATTAATAGTAAAGCGTTTCCTTAAAAGTGAAAGAGCTAGCTAAATCATTCAAGTGAGAACAGATTCTATTCTTCACAAATACTTTTATAGGAGCGAAGGATACAGTGCCAATGTCATATGCTCGATATGATCACACAATATCCATTCTACAAAATGGAAAAGCGCTAGTGGCAGGTGGAATGCTTAATGCGAGCTTGATTTGGGATAGTTCTGAACTATATGATCCATCAGCTGGCTTTTGGAAAATAGCAGCAAGTATGATTACGAAACGCTCCGGACACACAGCATCTATCCTAGCAGATGGAAGGGTGCTAGTGACAGGTGGGTATAACGGTACCAGTGCTTCAAATAGTGCTGAATTATATGATCCCATAGCTAACGTGTGGACAGCAACAGGTGGTATGAATAATGCACGAAGAGGTCACACGGCATCTGTCCTAAACGGAACAGTGCTAGTCGCAGGTGGATACAATAGTATCGGCTATCTTAACAGTGCCGAATTATATAATATATCAACGGGTACTTGGATAGCAACAGGAAGTATGATTAATGCACGAAAAGCCCACACATCAACCGTTCTTAGGAATGGAAAAGTTTTAGTTGCAGGTGGATCCACTGCTAGTACTTTTCTTAATGCTGTTGAATTATATAATCCAACAACCGGCACCTGGACAGCAACAACAACTATGAGTACCGCACGCGCTGGTCACACAGACTCTATGCTGTCAAATGGTAACGTACTGCTTGTCGGTGGAAGTAATGGATATATTCTTAAAACTGCTGAATTCTATAATCCTGTTTCTGGTAGTTGGACGGCAACACCAAACCTGAATGATTTGCGTTACGGGCACGCAGCATCCGTTCTACCAACTGGAGGAGTCTTAGCTATAGGTGGGCAGGGTCCTTTGAGCAGTATTGAATTATATAATCCAACAGGCAACACTTGGACAGTAAAGAGTCCGATGAGTACCGCTCGAAGGGATCATGTGGCAGCTGTCTTTCCAGACGGAACAGTATTCATTGTAGGAGGAACAAGTAATAATGTACCACTTGGCACTGCTCTCTTATATTCACCTTAACTGAACTTCGCAAAAGAACATTTTTCTATATATACTAAACTACAAATTTCGCGTATACCTCATAACCTTCGAGCACCATTTTTGCCTATGTTTTCTTATAAATAATCTTTTCAACAAATAAAACATATAACGTAAACTAGCGAGCTTTTTCGTATTATATCGGTCGTCAATGAACATCTTTGTCAAAAGATGATAAAATCACTAAATGGAATGATCCAGTATTCTTACAAAGTTGTTTTTCTATTAGCCTCTAGTTCGCTCAACTATGACGTGGAATTGTGCATCCTTCAGACATAGGTTTGATGACAATAAAAAGAATTTTGTTTTTTTCTGAGTTTATTTGATCACACTGATACAAAAATACATTTCATTATATACAATCTACATTCTAACTGATATAGTGTTGACGAATGGATGCAGGAACACCAGTGTATGGTTGAAAGTGAAGAGCATCTAGTGGAGTGAAATCGATCTCACGCTCAACACCAACATGTCCATTCCATGGATTGACATACATTCCACTATCTTGTGTATAGATGCCATAGCCATAGTTACCAAAGCCAATGGTGTGATAGTCACCATTCCAGTTGTTGCTGACAAGAGCTGTTCGTCCGAGCATGTTGAATAGATGAGTTTATTTGAATGATAAGATATCGAAGAGTGAGTGAGTGAATGAAGATGAGAAAGAGATGTGTAGTATTTATAGAGTAGAAGGCATAGCGAATTACTACGTAACTGTACCCTTGATGAACAAGATGAGTGACGTATCTAAACATATCTTCATCTCCGTCATCACTCACCTATTCTCTTTATTTTCTATGAAGAACGATAAAAACAAACATACGTAATATACTGTTTCATGTACAAAGAATATTCTCGACTTATCCATTCACATCGAAAAATAGCTGTAATACGTCACTGATGACGCATATGAAGAGAATGTAACGTGCGTCAGTTATGTACAGCGTACTTTTTATCAAGGATCTAATCAGTACGAATGCGTAAAAGTATCTGTTGTATAAATACCACACATCTCTATCCCATCTTCATTCATTCACTCACTCTTCGATATCTTATCATTCAAATAAACTCATCTATTCAACATGCTCGGACGAACAACTCTTCTCAGCAACAACTGGAATGGTGACTATCACACCATTGGCTTTGGTAACTATGGCTATGGCATCTATACACAAGATAGTGGAATGTATGTCAATCCATGGAATGGACATGTTGGTGTTGAACGTGAGATCGACTTCACTCCACTAGATGCACTTCACTTTCAACCATACACTGGAGTTCCTGCATCCATTCGTCAGCACTATATCAGTTAGAATGTAGTTTGTATATAATGAAAAATGTATATTTTTATCTGTGATGAAATAAACTCAAAAAAAATAATCCATGTATCTTTTTTTTTCATCAACACCATCACTATTGAGAGACTACTATTTTCATTACGAATACTGCTTCTAGAGGAACTTCTATTGGATCTCATTGTATTGCTACATCAGTAAGATGAATATAAATAATTATTAAAAACGGAAGATATACTTACACTTTTCACCGAACAGAATATCTTTGAGAAAAAAACATTTTCCATTATGAAATGACTTGATGAAAGAATGTGAAATGTATGCATAATAAATTTGGTACGTCCTTTCCAACTTTCATACTGCCGTCAGATAACCAGAATTTTTGAAACTATTGTAATGAACGCAGGAGATCCGATCACTCGGCAAGAGTGAACAAAGAAAGTTGCGATTCTGTCAGCAAATTATTTCATCGATATTGTGTGGTAACTACCAAAAAGGCGGAAAACAATGCTCTCTAGTACAAGTGAGACGTCACTTGGCGACAACCTTTTTTACGTGATGTCCAAAAGAGATTCTCATCAGTGTGTGATCATACTCCATTGCTTAGTACTTAAAGGAATTCCAATCCAATGAAATGAATAATATCTGTTCAAATGATTTGTCATAATAAGAAATCTTTTTTACTCCGGTAAGCGTTTATTCGATGCAAACAAAAAATACAAATCACTATATACAGTTTACAACATCTGAATCGTTTATCTGCATTCTAACTGATATAGTGTTGGCGAATGGATGCAGGAACACCAGTATATGGTTGAAAGTGAAGTGCATCTAGTGGAGTGAAATCGATTTCTCGTTCAACACCAACATGTCCATTCCATGGATTGACATACATTCCACTATCTTGTGTATAGATGCCATAGCCATAGTTACCAAAGCCGATGGTGTGATAGTCACCATTCCAGTTGTTGCTGACAAGAGTTGTTCGTCCGAGCATGTTGAATAGATGAGTTT